TTTAACAATGGTAATACACATGTACAAACATATATAATCCATTATTTTGAAAGCAGTAGTAACCCATGTCATATTCATTTTCAACTATATTTATCGAATATTTCTGAACTTTGTTTTTAATTGAGCTAGTGGTAAATATATATTCAATTTTTTAAATTCATTAAAGTAGAATTAAATTCATTTATAAATTTAATTAACAAGCAAGTAACAAGTAAAGGGGTATTAAATTAACGATAAATACAAACTATGTATAGTTTGTATTATCACATTGGACCTTCTGTTTTACGCTTTTATGAATACACTACGAAAAAAATACAATCCTCCCGTACTATTTTTCAGGACATCTTCAGACTTCCTTTTGAATTAAACCATTTCTTACAAATCGACTATTTACATATTGTCATCGTTAGGAATCCTAGCCTTGGATTCCAAGGGTTAAGTAAATTAAATTATATGTAGATATTTGTTACGTTAAAAACATTGCAACGGCTCATCGTACAGTATAACCCGTTCTTTCTATAAAAATTTTGGAAACCTGCCAGCTGCCCTGCAGCCCTTAAAATCAATCAGTGAATCCCGAGCAGTAGCGTCACCGTATTTTCGCTCACTCTGGAAAAATAGTTGAGTAAGTATTTCGCCTGAATACCATCACGAATCGTCTCCACGGATCCCATAACTTCAAGATTGATCGAATTTGGGGTCAATGAACGTACCACTTTCCTCTCATACTTCCCTCCCCCATGTAATTTGTACATTCTCTCCAAAAACAGACGAGATGCAGATGATCCCTTTGAAATAAAGGAGATAGTGAACCATTGCACCAGCACGCAAAAAATGACCACCACAATGCACGAACAACGCAGAAATAAGCTGTGCGAACTTGCGAAATCGTTGCCAAAACCGACCACCAAAAAGTACAGGGTGAGCGTGGATGCTGTTACACAGAAGAAATGGTGAAGGCATGTGGTCACTAAATCGTGCGCTATTTCGGAATGAATTATACCCAAGATTCGGAGACATTTGTAAATGTGGATGCTTATCGGAAATGGGAGTCTCATTTTACCCTGTTGATTTCTCGTTTTCTCCAAGGTTCCAACTTTTTTTAACCTGCCCTCTGCCAATGCGTTTCTAACTTTCCCCCAATAGTTTTTCCTACCGCCACAACTATTTCTCACTCTACCCCAGGCTCCCCTGTCCGGCGGGATAATAATCAAACTCCACAAATAGAGGCAAGCTACACCATAGCCAGAAATTAAAACAGAAATCGATTCCGCCGCAAAAACCACGAGTGCCCCGATGAAGGTGGGGACACCGGTGAGTACAAGAAATACAGCGCAAATGGCGGGATGATAGCGCTCTTCTAGGTGGCGGATGTCATTAAGGGTAACGTAAAGGGGATTGATGGAGGGTGAGAAGCAAGCCGCGAAGAGCAGGAAGGGCACGACGTTGTCAATCGTGTTGAACAAATGGTGCATAAATGCTGTTATTGTTCTGAGGACGTTTCGAATTTTGAAATCCTGGAGATTATGTCCCAACAAGTCTGAGCAATACAGAAAACTCAAAATTAGTTTAATTTTGGTGGCAAATTTGTATAACATTTTTATTTACAAATGGTAATGGTAATTTGCTTGACTGACCGTGTAACGTTCTCTCCAAAGATATTGTAGCCTGGTAAAATGACACGTATTTTTCTGCTGCTTGTGCCCTAATTAAGAACCAAGAGTACGGTAAAAATCCCGCAATAACCATGGTAGCCAAGTACGTTACGAACATCATGGCGGTATCTCGACCCTCCCTAACCGTCGCTAAATGAATGCCGCGAACCACAAACAAGGGAAAAATGGGAAACGTGATGCACAAACAGATCCATTTAAATAATCTGTACTCCCGCCGGGTCCCTTTCAAGGCTTGGATAGATTGAGACTTGGCGTCAAATTCGAAACAGTACGCGAACGAAGCGGAATTTCGCTGCATTGTGGCAACAGCGCGACGAAGGTGGTGGATAGCTTGGTCCTCCCACATGGCTTTTTTGGTCAATTTTATGTACCACGATATATTTTGTATCTTGTAAGTACTTTTAAATTATGTGGATTCGAAACTGTCAAGGCTTCACTTAGGATTACCAGAGTTTGATGTCTTTAGGATAGTTATGTTGTGTGGTTTAATGGGGTGATTGAGGGGTATCGTCCGGTCTTTGACGTCTTACCCCCCATTTTAAAGGACGGGCAGAAAATAATTGTTTTTGTTTTTATTTAAACTGTTTTCGTTAGTTCTCCTAATATTGAAAGCTATCAGATTTGGTGAATGATTCCAAGTAGCAAAAGTAATCCAAACGTGTAAATACATACATAGGTTTTTTGTATAGTTTTTTTGTATAGGTAGTGCCTTTGAACAAGGACTAAGTTGCAAATAACAAACAAATTAGCCAGCCAATCTGAAGGTACAGAATGACATGCGAAAGGTTTAATTTCTTTGAAGCAAATTAATTGTGTATATATGTACACTCTTACAAATCCAGTGTTAACATAATACCCAGCGGTATTCATGTATCCCAAAAGGGATAGATAAGTAATCCGTCGTATGTATATAGTAACAACATGTTATTAAAATTTTATCATATCGGTAGCAAATTTATACGGACAGATATCATTTTAATATCAGGCGGTAGCAACTTTAGTACCGTGAAATAAATACCTGTACAACTATACCAGATTCCTAAGTGTATGTTCACGTATACATACATACGTTGGCTGGTTCGGTACATGTATGTATGTAAATTAAAATGAATATTCTGACAAAACAAACTTCTTTAAAACCAATTTAGATATTATGTACCAAATTAAATATGACTAAATGCTCTACTAAATAAATATTTAGACATTTTTGTCCTGTCCAAAAAAAGTTAAACGGCTTGTAAATTGTTTGCGTTAAAGTTTGAACCTTTTTATTATTAACTTTTAATCTTCTTTCTAATCGTTTCTACACTAGGGAGCAATATTATTCGGGTAAGGGGAACCTCAAAATTCAAAGGGCAATTAGTCAGTAACAGTAATAGATATTCCAAAGCCTTTCCTGTGATTAGTAGACAATATAATAGGGTTCCAAATTATATGTCTCATTTCACCCCAACCCTCATATTTTTAGGTAGAGAGTAAAGAAAACTTTTTTTTTAAGAATTTTTCCGAGCAAAGTTATTCGTTTTTTTCAAAAAATGCAAATATAAACAAAAATTGTATAAGTATCGAAATACTGTTTCGTAAATTTAGTGACCCATCTTATGATGTATTTATTTTGAAAATTTGAAACTTGTCAAGTCATGGGAAGATAACTGCAGAGACCCCTACTGACCACCTAATGCAGGTTTGGGAAGACAATGAAAATGGGAAGAAGGTTCAAAGAGAAAATTCTGAAATACGTCATATCTCGTCCTCCTATATCTACTTTATCATTAAAAAATATTGAGAAACTGGAAAAACTGCTAACATCCTAGAAACAGACAAAATTTCGAAGTTTCCCTGAAAAAAATATCAGGCAATCGTTAAGGAAGTGTAGGCCACGCCCAGACTTTCAGGACCCAAAATCGCGACCGCGGTCCAAAATGACCTTAGAGAGTCGACAATTCGATTTCGAGAAGCAAGAACCCTGAAAACTGCCAGACCAACAAATTATGAAGCTAGGAAAAAAAAATTAATCAGCAAACTGGATAAAGGAATAGGACGAAATTTCAAATGGGTCCATACAAATGGGTCTGTATTTTGTAGGAACGATATTTTTGGAAGCATATCGAATGGTCCGACAAAAGGTTCAACATTTCTGAATCTAATATACATGCTCGCGTTTTGAGAAAGTAAGAGGAACCACTGAAAATGAAGAATCTACAAGGTACATACCGGCATCAATGGTGGTGGCAGCGTTATAATATGGGGGTGATCTAGCTCTGGCGCTACTGGGGATTTAGAATTTTAGGAACGAATCATGGGCCAACTTGTCTAACAGGGTCTAGTTATCCGAAATATGAAAGGTTTTACCACCACTAAGGCTCTGGGTCGACTATACATATTCCAGAAAGACATGGCCCCAAGCAAAAAGTGCAACCAACTTGACACTATTTTGAAAAAAGGCACATTAAAGCTTTGGAATGGCCACCACGAAGCACAGAACTTAATTCCATTGAACCTCTCTGGAATTATGTCGAAAAATAAATTTCAAAATTCAAAGTTTCAGGCGTGGGCGAACTGAATTTAAAAAATTCTGGAGTACGAGAAATGTTCGTGAAGAACTTCCCTCACAATTGGTTGCATCTATTCAAAGTCGATGTAATACAGTTATTTGCAGCAGTATAAGCCGAACAAATCATTGAGTACAATCTTGGATGTTTAATTCAAAGTATATGTGTAGATATTAAATAAAAGCTAATTCTGCCCGAATAATTTTGCTCTCTTTTTTTCTGACTTTGGGTGATGCGGAAATTTGAACATTTTTTTCAAAATTGGCTTAATACAATTGAAAGACTACTAAATTATGTACAAACTGCAAAAGATTTCAAATCAATACCTTCACGATTCACTCAGTTATTGGAATTTGAATTTTGAGGTTGGTCTTACCCGAATAATATAGCTCCCTAGTGTATTATGCAGGTTCTACAAACCTTTTCATGACTACCTTGAGTAAAATACATGAATTTGTATGTACATACATATGTACGGATGTATGGATTTTTAATGTTTCCTCATATATATTTATATGTATACTTACATAGGTACATATGTACATCGGGGTTGGCCACATTTTTTCCATACGTTTTTAACCAGAAACGTAAAACAAATAAAAACAAAACATGTAAAACGATACGACATTAAGTAACCATTCCATGTATATTAGTTTAAGTCAGAATGACACAAAGTGTACTATGTATGAATGAATGAAGGTTCAACTTTGTGGCAATATTTTCAAAGAAGTTGTCCTTCAGTTATGAGGACCTTTTTAGGGAAAAGAAACCTTGTCCTTCCCAGCATGAAATCGTTTTCCAAAAACGTTTTTTTTAATTTTTCAACGTTTCTCCCCGAATTAGAATCTATAAATAGATTTCTAACTAAATATATGTAACAACCCAACCCTTTCACCAGTCGTCTATTTAAGCAGCATAATACGGGTGCTCGAGTCCATTCCTTTTTTACCTGCAGACTAGTGAACACGAACGTCAAAGTTTATTTGTTAAAATTATCCGGAAAAATAAAACAGTTTCCAATTTATATTTTAATAGATCACTATGAATTCTACTAAATTTCATATTCTCGTTTTCGCAACCCTTTCTCTAACGAATGGATTAGTATTACGGGGGAAGATTTCAGCTCTACCAACGTCTCTTGGGAACCATCAGGTACGAAATTTTGCACATTAAAACAGTAAAATATTACTATTTACTATTTGAAATTAGCATCAACTACATATGCAAATGTAGTGCGAAATTAAGATTTTTTAAAATTATAATTTTGTTTCCAATTTTTGAAATCTTTTATTTGTTTGGTAATTATATTATTGCAATGGATCTATTCATTACGAAGTTGCAAAATAATTTTGAAAAAAATTGCCAAGTAAATATCAGTGTAAATATACTTACGTTCACAAACGCCTTTTCAAGCAAAATTTTTTTTGCGAGCCTTTATGTTGCTATCTCGTGATTAATTCTCCTAATTTTCAAAATTTTTAATATTTTTAATTCTAATAAATACTTATAATTATTTTCTAACCATAGAAATACAACAACCTTCACTTTGGACTTGTCCCTTCCGACTTAAATTTTGGAGATCTTAAAAAATCTGATATCTCTCAACCGCAAACGGACTTCATGTTGTCCCAAATTGATCCGATTCCCTGCCGAAATATTAGATCCAACTTGGATTTCGATTTAGCTGCCGACGTTAAACAACTCATCAGCGACCAGTTGGAAGTCTCCGCGTCAAAGGTGACGGACGAGGCGTCATTTATCGATGATTTGGGCGCGGATGATCTCGCCGTTGTTGAGCTAGTTTTGGCCGCGGAGGAAAGGTACGAATGCACCATTCCGGATGCAGAGAATCTTAGGCTGGTTATCGATTTGATAAACTCCGTGAAAAAGTACTGTTCACATAATTGACAAAGGTGTTGTTTACCTTTTTGAATATTTTTATATTTAAAGACGGAAAAGTTTCTTCTTCCTCGTTACCTATTTATGTACTAGCAAATTGTCATACAATATTTACCAATTATGTATTTGGTCCCAACGATCAATTATTTTAATTGTTTTTTTATGTACTTAATTAATTAATTCTGTTTTAAAAAATGTCTATATTATAATTTCGAAAAATTCGGCCCGTCAAAAAATTCCGTGACATTCTTGCATTCTGATTGGTTGCCGGCTTTCTAGCTCCATCAATCATGGAGGGGACACTACTTATGATTATGACTATTATTATGCATATGATTATGGATATGTTTACGAACATTAATATGAATATAATTATGCATATGATTATAAATATGATTATGAATATGATTGTGGATAAGATTAAGAATATGATTATGAGCTCGATTATGAAGATGAATCTAAATATGATTATGAATATAATTATGAATATGATTGTGGATACTGTTATGAATATGATTAAGAATATGATCATGAATTATATTCATGATCATGTTATGATTATGATTCCATATCAACGTTAAATGTCATTGGAAACGTTAACCAAATTGCTTGGTTACCTTAAAAATCTACTTAGCAACACAGGCAAATCCTTAGAAACGTTACAAAAATCTGTTATGACCTCAATCATGAATTATGTTTGTTGTTAGTTTACAAATATTGTTGAATTATAATTTCCATTGAAATTAGTACATCACGTCAGTTATTTAATACCTTTCTTGGATCATTTTGATATGTCCGTTTAAAATTTAGATGTGGCCCGTCTATAAGACGGGCTTATAGGCTAGTGCTTGTAATAAAATTAGTATCAACGACATATTGTAATAAATTACATACATTCGTATATTCACGGCTGACCTAAAAGGGTATTATTTTTAACAAAATAGAAAGGAGTAACCAACTCCCAGCATTTTATTTGCATAATACACCCAGAATGGAGGTTCCCGAACGTACGTACGTGGCTCTCTTGCGGAAAATTTTACTGCCATCAAATCAACATTTTTGATTCAATGCCACAAAAAAAGAGACCCACACAATCTATTTCAGGTCTGCACTGCACTGCACTCAAATCTAATGTACGTACGTTCGGGAACGTTTGTATGTATACATAAATACGCTCACAAATTTTGACACAACTCGTGTTAATCGATCAAAAATTAAATTTATCTATAGATAAAGCATCCGGTAGAGTCACATATGTACTCCGTACTGGTATTGATTTGGTAATAATTCCATACCGCATTGGTTATAGTTTGTTTCAGAGTAGTAACTATTTCATTACCACCACATTACTACGCCGTGACGATCGATATTACCGATGCCGGTAGAGTCACATATGTACTCCGTCCGGTAATGATTCGTCATGAATCAATACAAACTGCTTAAGAGTGTATGTAAACGTCACTTTCTGCAAATTCTCAGATTTGGCATATATAGATACATAAGTATTTAGGTATTTATTAATATCTATAAAAGAAAGGAGGGTATGACGAGTTCATCGTCAATTCTTCTACCAAAAGATGGAACCGAAAACCTATGTACATAGTATATTTTTAGATTAACAATTCTGTAATTTCACCTACGCCATTTCGAGATATTTGAGTTGAAAGTATTCAAAAAATCGCATTTCAGTGTGATTTAAGAATGTTCCCATCCCTCAGATATATTCCCTAAACCCGGCTATTATGCAAACTACCTGACAAATAGAGCCTTTTTAAATAAGTAAGTATTAGACACAAGAAGTAAACAAAGAAATCGGTCAAACTTCAAGGTAATGAGTGGAAGTTTAATTTATGAGTCAAGGATTCAACCTTGACATTCACTTTCTCCTCTTTCGTAATTTGGGTATGTAGATACATACAAAATATTTACTCTACAAAGAAATGGTGTAGTTTTACATACATGCATACCTGTTTACATTTTTCTATATATCAGCAGGAAAGACGAATGATATCTCATTGAAAACAAAATTCCGCAGATTTAGGTCAATAAATCCTATTTTTCATACGTTTTGCATGTTAATTCCATTAGCCACACTGAAAATTAGTTGAAAGCCGATCCATTTTTTTCCAATGCGAAGTTAAAGGCGATAAAATATGGAAGTTTATGTATCATAAACGTGTTGTTGTCCTTGCGTACATACGTACAAACATATGCACATATGTAAACATACATAAATATTTAGTTTCAAATGTACATAAGATGCAGACATACACACATAGGTTTATGTGCATATTTACTACTTTATTTATGCACGTATAATAAATTAATAAATAAGTTTTTCATTGAATATTTAAAATGGCACGAACATTTGGACCAATATATCCACATGCAATCTTAACAACTATAGCATTTTTTGTATTTTTTAATCCATTAGTGACAGTTCCTAAAATAAAAAAAGAAAGAAGTGGTACTGTCTCATATTTACAGATAAGAAGCGTAATTCCCATTTAGCAGATCCATCTAGACATCCATTTATTTACCACCAGTGAACTCGTCGAAAATAACTAATTTTCGCCGTAACTCTCCCAACTGCGGATTGATATGGCGCTTCCATAGAAATCTCATGACCGGCGCGAGATCAAGGCGGACCCGGTTAGCAAATTCAGCGGGATGCTTCGTCTTCTTTTCATCTTTAATTCTCATAAATATGGTTTCAAATGGACTATTAATAAGGAAGAGCGCTATAGTTTTCACCACAAAGGGGAAATTAAGACCAAGATAAGCGTTATTATGGTGACATCTTATATTAGCTCCTTTGAGTACTAACCTAATGTCAAGTACCCGAATTCCTGGTCTTAATTGTTCATCCAAAGTTTTTGTCTGCACATTAACAAATCCTGCAACGCCTTTGTATGAAATAGTGTCATGGGTCCCAGGAAGTGACATGTCCTTCACATACTTTGTAGGGCTGACATCCTTCATCCATCCTGAAAGGGAGGTCATACATGACTTCTCATAAAATCACGGAAACTTATGTACATATGTAAGTGCTTATAAAACTTATGGGTTGATGTATGTACATCTTGCTGGGTTAGCAAGGATGTGTTTGCTGAATAGAAACATGCCAATTTCATAGGCAAATTTGCAAAAAAAAAAATCCATGAGTTCCGAAACAATTTGTCTTTGAACAAATATAGTTTTCCAGGAAAGATTTTGTCAAATCTCGCAAATCTCACAAAACTTTGAAAGTTATGTTGCCATGCTCGAATCATAAATACATGGGGGGCTGAAGGGATAAAAATATTTATAATGTCACGTTACATATTTTATGAAGGTTCCCTACCCGTATGTAATATGTATCAAAGGCGAAAATATTCCTGTTCCTTCGATCGCTGGAGGATTTGTTAAATATAAATGCAAGGGTTATTTTTTTCCGGGAAATCTATCCAACTTTTAGCCAGGTAGAAAGTATAAAATTGGATCGCACTGACCCTTACTAAGCATGCCCTGCTCTTTAACCAGCCTGACACATACACATTTTCTTAGCTCAGTCACATTTTAAACTTGTAGACAAACACGTGCAAACTTCATAAATACATACCTTACTAATTTTAAGTCAAAATTTCAAGTTAAAAGTTTTCGTCACAATTTTTTACAAATTCACTAGAAAATTTTGTTACACAAATTTCTCACAACATGATCTCACAAATCTGCGTCGTAAAGTAAGTTCCATTTCTGCTCGAATTTTTAAGAATTGAAGAAATTTTGAACTGTGCTAAAATCCTTAAGTGTTTGAATACTTTAATCTAATTAATTTCTTGTTGCCCTCATTTATTCCAGTCTGGATTACGAGAACACTCCAGCCGGACGAGGTTGGTTGGTCACGATCGACGGTTTGGACCACATGCAAGTGAAGCATTTCCAGGACTACGTGACCTCCAAGGCGTGGGAGACGGATGTCATCATCTGCACCACGCTCACCATCGGGCCGGGCGAGGAGCCAAAGTTTCTGGGTGGGGACTTTCTTAGTTATGACGCCATTCAGCCAAAGATTGACTCTTATTTCGAAATTTTGGACTTTCTTGGTGAGTAAATTACACGATTTTGATTTTTTTTTCATAAGTGAATATTTATGATACTGAGGCCTTGGTCATACTTGGTAATATTACAAAATCCGTAAATTATGTAAAGTTACAAACTTTTACTAAATTTTACAAATATTTCTGCCGAAAATTAGGCTACAATTTTTTTAAAACTTACTCAGTTCAATGGTGTCTCTTTATTTTGTACAGTTCGTAAAATTATTTACAAAACTTACACATGTTAAAAGCTATCAATGAGTTTCCTCGGTATATATAACGCTTAGCTTGTAAAATGTGCAAGTTATTATAATACTTTTATAAAAACCACGCCATTGAGTAGTTTTAAGTTACAACAATTTTTAAGCTAATTTCTCCTGAAAGCCTGAAATATGTTGTGGAAGTTAATTTTGTGGAATTAATAATAGTTAAAAATAAAATTTGTGGAAGTTAATAACTTGACAGAATTTACGGATTATACAACATGGTACTATTCTTTAGACTGCGTGAACTGTCTCATCGTAATTAATGAAGCTAAATTTTCATGTACAAGTTTTAAGATATTTGTTTAATTTTGTTCAGGATTTAAGCTGATCGGAGTGAACACGACGTCCCACCCGGAGAAGGGGAAGCGGTCCACGTGGACGATGAAACACGTGGCGATGTAGTTTAGTTATAATTAGTGGTCTCAACGGTTCTCGGTTCTCATAGAACCGAACCTGAACCGATGGCTCGGTTCGGTTCCGGTTTATACGGAGAACCGAACCGAACCGAAACTTTTATTACCGGTTCGGTTCCGGTTCCAAGTCTTTGAGAACCGAACCGAACCGGCCGGTTCGGGTTGAACCGAACTTCATACATAAATACATTAGCGAAATTAATCATATTTTCGAAAAAGTTTTACGAATTTCCCGAAATACACATAGTTTCCAAAATGAAATTTTGACGTGGCCCCACTGCCAAAGTTCCCAAAATGAAACTTTGACATGGCCACACCCCCAAAGTTCCCGAAATGAAACTTTGACTTGGTCACACCCCCAATGTTTCCAAAACCAAATTTTGACTTGATGACACGCCCAAAGTTCCCAAAATGAAACTTTTATTTGGTCACACCCCCAATGTTTCCAAAACGAAATTTTGACCTGGTTACATCCCCAATGTTTCCAAAACCAAATTTTGACTTGATGACACCTCCAAAGTTTCCAAAATGAAATTTTCACCCCCAAAGTTTCCTAAACGAAATTTTTACCCCCAAAAGTGTCTAAAATGAAATCTTTACTTGGTCACACCCCAAAGTTTCCAAAATGAAATTTTGACTTGGTTACACCCCCAATGTTTCCAAAATGAAATTTTTACTTGGTCACACCCCAAATGTTTCCAAAATGAAATTTTTACTTGGTCACACCCCAAATGTTTCCAAAATGAAATTTTGACTTGGTTACACCCCCAATGTTTCCAAAATGAAATTTTTACTTGGTCACACCCCCAATGTTTCCAAAATGAAATTTTGACTTGGTTGCACCCCAAACTTGGAATTGTTTTCTAACTTCAATAATATATACATAAGTGGTTTTGCTGTTGACATGTATTAGAATTTGCTTGTTTAAATACAGATAAGTTATTGGCTTATATGTGAAATTTCATCAGAAACACGTCAATTAGCATTGTTTGTTGTTTATTGCATATTAATAACACTACCGGTTTGACCCGAACCGCCGGTTCGGTCACGGTTTGGTCCGGTTCGGTTCCAACTAAAAAAAGTTCGGTTCTGTTTCGGTTCTTCAATTCTGGTTCTCGGTTCTAAACCGGTTCTTCCAAGAACCGAACCGAACCGCACCGTTGAGACCACTAGTTATAATGCAGACTTGATATAGAAGAATATACATGTAGCTCGAGCTAAATAAGTAGGATTTTTTCGTCCCTAAATACATTGATTTCCACATTAGTAAATATGTAGTACATTCAAAATAATTTGGTAATAAAATCATTCAAACTCGGGTAATAAATATTTCTACTTTCCCCCAAGATTTCTGACCTTACGTAGTACATATGTATGCATGCGATAGAAATATCAATTATTGATTTACTTTTGACCACCATGAATAAGCATTTTTATGTATCATATTGTATCATTTGCATATATACAAAAATACACACAGGGTCGACCACGCGTGTTCCGGTAGATACATTTTTATTGCTAAATTATTCCTATTGAATTATTCATGCATGTCACCTCATTGGCATATTTGTAAAATCTCTTTATGCACAATTTCAGCGATTTTGGCTTGTTGAACAAACTCTATCTCTCGCCAAAATATGCAAATCCCATGACTTGCACACCTAATTTCACTGTAGTTCACTTATAAAGTTTCCCAGCCATGAATACGAAATGTGTTCACGATTTTGAATATTTTGATAACCACACAATTCAATTGCCACAAGATATGCAATCCACGAGCGAAAAAGCTTTTCATCAACAAAGACTTTAGGATTGAGTCGCAGTGAACTCACCCTCGCGGCAAATGTAAAATGCTGAATTGTGTCAACAAAAGTGAAAACGTTTTCCACATTTCTTCTGTCCAAGAAAGTAATTCAGTCAATTAACTTAAAGTCAATTGATTCTCCAAACCGGAATATTCATCATCCTCAAACATTTGTAAGTCCTCAGAGAACATTTATTATTCCAATTATATGAAATTTCTAGCGATGTTAAAAATATGGTAAGAGAATATTTTTTTAATTGACATTTCCATTTCAAAACAGGAAAACCTCCCAAGTCGACAAGGATTTTTCTTCTCGCGTGATATACAATTATGGAATCTCAACGGGAATGGACATTGCAGAATATCGCACTAAATAATCCCATCGTAAGCCAAAAATACAATTTTAAAACTGTTGAAAATACCCAGTTCAAAAATCTAATTTTCTACCTTTCAGATTTTGACGGAAATATTAAAACAGGCCTCCATCCCTCTGAAAAATTGTCGACTCGTTTCCCACTTCTGGAATCACATCGTCCTCTCCATTCCGAACACTAGACTCGCCTTAAACCCCAACAAAAAGGACGCAGAACATGGGGACTACCTCGTTCCATTTTTCGAAATCTGTTCCACCTTAGACCCCCATCTTGCTCGGCGAATTAGCGCCAGGACACTATTTTACAGCAGGACCACCACCTACTCTTTCGCCGCCCAGCTGACCTATCTATGTGGCAAATTTAGCGACCAGATCCAAGATTTGGGGGTTATCATCCATCACAAAGAATGTGTACAAGTCGTGTTCCAAATTTTGAAAAATTACTGCCCAAACTTGAAAACATTACGAATCAGGTGCGACTTCAACGAAGAAGGACATGTTCCCAGTGGAGAAATTCTGCTGGCGAGACTTCCACAAAAAACATATTTGACCGTTTTCCAGCTACAGGCCGGAGGGGTCAGGCCGTTTCTGACTCTAACCAGTTTCACTCAGCTGGTCTTCAACGCGTCGCCAAACTTGAAAAAGATCACCCTTCCATTGGGAATCTATCCGGATTTGAAATATTTTAAATCCTTGGATTCCTTAACCCTCAAACTGAACGACGGTCAAGAACTAGACGTCGCTCTGATCAACCTTAAACCGTCCGATCTCACACGGATGCTGGCTCAAGTTGGCGACCAACTCGTCCACCTCGCTTTTTCATATTGCTGGATGAATGAGGGATATAGCATGCAAGTAGACTACGATCTCGATAACTCGACCCGATCCCGATTCCGTTTGCCGAGAAGGATGCCGAAACTGCGAATCTTCAAGAACGATATGATCGACATTATCCAGCATGCCGATTTCTGGCAAGACATCGTAGGAATGCCAGCCCTGGAATCGCTTAAGATTGGAAAGATATCGAAAAAGTCGACAAGTGTTGATGCAGTTTTTAAAAATCTGTCAGAAACGGGGCGGATTTATTCAAAAGTTACGGATTTGAGGATTAACGAGTTATACGATCCTAAACTTCTGGACGGATTAAAGACGGCGTTCCCTAACTTGAGGAGACTGGGATTGGACTCGATGTACGAGACGGAGGTGGCCGGGATGGAGTTGGGCGTGGTTTTTAAGGCGTGTGCAGATTTGGATACGTTAAACCGTTTGGATTTGTGGCTGCCGACTTATCCAGAACGAGTGTTGGATGTCATTAAGGGTCTGATGGATGGTAGTAAATTTTACAAAGGTGAGTATCAGCTAATCAGCTTATCAAATTAACTTGTTCAAAGTATCGAAAATGTGCAAATTTTCCTGTTTAGTTTACCTTTGCAAAATGTATCAATTTATGTACCTAGTTATTTTAATTAATCTAATCCACAGAGATGAATAGTTTAGAAATCAGGAAGAACGGGTCGAAATTTGTGAGACATGAGTTGACAGACGGTGAGATGCATCTATTTAAGAGGCTGCTGGTCACGATGAAAGAAATGGGTCGCGTCGTCATTCATGATCTTCACGTAAGTTATAAATAGTAATGAATACTGAGACACGGGCTTATTAATGATTACTAAATAAAAATAATTAGGGATCGTCCATAAATTATGTCACGCAAAAACGCCACAGACTGTCCCTCCACCCTGTTATGTCGTGTCACGCAAAACTTTTACCCTCCAATTCCCCTCAACCATGACATAATTTATGTACATCCCCTAAATTAATTGGTTAATCTTGCATAACTTGACTAAGAGCATTTAAATATTGCTGTTATTTTTTTCAGTTTGATGAGAAATCTCGGAGAAATTTGTTGGATTTTATGGCGTCAAGCGAAATGCCCGTGTCACAATTTAAGGTTGTGATGTAAGGATTCGGAGCAGATAAAACGTATCGACGACGACCGGAGTAAACCAGATTTGTAAAAGTTTATGAGCCTACAAAATTTGATAATTATGCAATTGTTTATAGTTGCATAATTTTATGAATTAATTGTATTTATTAAACTATGTATTTATTACTAAATAAATCTCCACTTTTAAATATTCCATTTCCGATGGCAGTATTATTACTATTGTGTATCTTCGTCACTGGCCAAACTAAGCGAAATTTTAAATTTGTAAAGATTTTAATAATCTCATTTTTCGATGTCATATTCCTAGAATTTTTCATGAAAGTGTGTGCATTAAATATTCACCTTGCCCCGAGATTTTGAGTTACCTAAACCGGTTGAATTGTCATTCCGTAAACATGTACAAAGGTACATGTAGGTACATGTAGGTACATGTAGGTACAGGTAAAGTGAAAATATTTCCAGATTTCTGTCCATGAAATTAATTTAATTAACTTTAATTAAAGGCCTGCCAATCCTCAACCCGCAAATTCATCAACTCCAAACATTTGTAAGTCGCCAGAGAACATTTCTTATTCCAATTAATATAAAAATTTCTGATCATTTCAAAAATATGAATGGTATTTTTTAACAAATTGACATTTCCCAACAGCAAAACTTTATTCCAAGTCGGCAACGATTTTGCTTCTCGTGCGGAATAAAATTATGGAATCTCCTGAAGAAAGAAGTGTGCAAGAGGTCGCACTAAATAATCACATCGTAAGCTAAAAACAATTTTAGTTGACAATGCCAAGTTCAAAAATTAATTTTTCTATAACTTGCAGATTTTAACGGAAATATTAAAACGGAGCTGCATCCCGTTGTTGTCGACTAGTTTCCCATTTCTGGAACGAAATTGTCCTCTCCCTTCCTTCAAATTCAAGACTCGCCGTAAGCCTGACGAAAGATTATGAAGACGACCCTGTCCCGTTTTTCGAACTCTGTTGCACATTAGACGACCGCCTTGCCAAACGGATTAGTGCCGATTCATTACATTGCAGCACATACTCCTTCGCAACCAGGCTGATGCATCTGTGTGACAAGTTTAGTGATCTCGTCCAAGTTTTGGACATTTGGATCAATACAGAAGACTGTTTACCATCTGTTTTCCACGTTTTCAAAAATTCCTGTCCCAATTTGAAGGAATTACGAATCCGGTGCACGTTCGACTATGCGGAAGACGTTCCTAGTCCAGACGCGGTGCAGCTTCTACAGAAACCAAATTTGACTGTGTTCGACCTCAATTCCGAATTGATGACGGCGTCACCTGCTTTAACCAGTTTTGTTCAATTGGTCGTCGACACATCGCCAAACTTGAGAAAGGTCACGTTTCCATGGGGAATCTACCCGGATTTGGGGCATTCAAAATTCCTGGATTCCTTAACTCTCGAACTGAACGATATTCAGCGACTTGACGTTTCTCTGAAACACGTTAAACCATCCGAACTCGTCCGCTGAATCAAATCGGTGACCAACTCGTCAATCTTTCGTTTTCCTATTCCAACTACTATGGAAAACACAGCATGAAAGAGGAAGAAGCCTCCCATATCGATACCTTGCCCCTATCTCAATTCCATTTGCCAAGAAAGATGTCGAAACTCAGAACCTTCAAGAACGACATGATCGACATTGTTCAGCATGCCGATCTCTGGCGAGATATCGATAGTATGCCCGCTCTACCAGTGGCGGATAAATAGGGTATGTGGGGTAGGTGTGACATAGGGGCCCCCGCGCAGCGGGGGCCCCCGGGTGAGGCGTGGTGCACATATTGTTATACTTTAGTTTTGTCAACGAATTTCGAAAAATAAATTCACTGATACTGCGGATAAATGATTATTAAGTTAATTGTTATTAAGTATGTATGTACTCGCATAACAAATAGTTTGGGGAACTACAAGCAGATACATAGTTGAGTATTTATGGATATATGTTGAAGGTAATTAGGTTACAATTATTTTTTGCCGGTTTGGAATAAATTTCTCACTGGTCAAGTATAAATTGATAACCAGTCAGTGGTAGACTCAAATATATATCTTCGATTGAGGTTATCATCGTAACCGAGTCATTTCCATTGTGGGTTATGCAATCTTTGAAGGTGCTTTCGTGGGGTTCTAAAAATTTTGCATGCGATTCAGTAAAATTTTCGCAAACTATAGGGAGTAGCTTAGAAATCAAAGTGGGGGCCCCTTGACAGTTGACAGAGGTTTTCTAGCCAAAAACTAATTTTTTTATATTCTTGAAATATAACAAATAAATGTGCCAAAAATTATATTTCAACGAAATTTGGCTAGAAAAAAGTCTCATATCTGTCAAGGGGCCTCCAAATTTATTACCCAGCTACTAAAGTATGCGTAAATTTTGCGGAATCGCATGTAGAAATTGTCAAATAAAAATTATGTTGGCCTCTTTATATTAATCGTTGTCTCAATCTAGTTCATGGTGATTCCCAATTGACGCCTAATTCCTCACGAATCTAGAGAAATTTCATAGCGAGTTAATATTCTCCGCCTATTTCGATCTTTGAATTGGGAATTATTGAGACGATACATAGTCGTAAGTGGTTAGGATTAAACGTAACTGTATAACTTCAGTCATTTCTAAAGCGATACTGGCTGGCATAATTTCATTTCTGGGAGCGGTGCAACGTAGTAAAAACTGAATATTTTCTCTAAGAAGTGAAAATAGTTGGATAACACTAGCAGACATTAAAAAATGTCGCCAATCGGAGTTATTTTTAAGCAAATTCATTTTCCGTTTCAATTCAGAGCGCATAATTTAATTAACTTGACAGGAATTTTTCGCCAAAAAAGTTTTTGAGGCCTAAAATCACGACCGCGGCGAAATTAAAAGAATTGAAAGATGCAAAATTATATAGAAAGTGCAGATACCTATGCTTTTATATATTTCAGTATATTGTATATTTTATAATTTCGCCTCGGTCGAAATTTTAGGCATCAAAAACGTTTTTGGCGAACAATTTCTGTGGGCGTCAAAAACATCGTACACTGTCGTACGATATCCTCATTTTCTTCGTAAGACCTTGCAGTTTCCAGTAAAATACATTGGAAAGTTAAAAAATATCAAGAGAGTTTTATTTTTTGGCTCTCATTTCGAATTGCTAAAAAATTCTGACATTTGAGTTTCGGTGAACTTGAAAATCAGCGACGCGGAATTATTCGGCTGAGTTTATACAAATGCGTTCGGAGTTTAGAACCTCTAAGTACACGGCATCATATTGTTACTAAATAAACGTCAATCGTTGTCAACTGTGGTTGTAACTCAAGTGTTTGATACACTGTAGTTAAGAATTTTAAATACCGTTACATATCACAAAAAACCCACCTAGGGGCCCCGAGTTGGCTTTATCCGCCACTGCGCTCTACAATCGCTCGGGATTGGAAAGATAACGAAAATGTCGACAAGTGTGGATGCAGTTTTGAAAAATCTTTCAGAAACGAAGCGAGTTTTTACAAAAATTACGGATTTGAGGATTTACGAGTTGTACGATCCGGGACTTTTGGACGGATTGAAGATGACGTTTCCTAACTTGAAGACATTGGCGTTGGACACGTTACACAAAATGGAGCTGGGTGGCATGGAGTTGGGCGTTGTTCTCGAAGCGTGTACAAATTTGGACATGAAGTTGGACCGTTTGGATTTATGGCTACCGGCCTATCCGGAACGAATGAGAGATGTCATTGATGGTCTGTTAAAGGGCGATAAATTATACAAAGGTGACGCCCAGCTTTTCTATAGTGTCGAAAAATGCATATTTTTCTGTTTAATTGACGTTTACAAAATGTATCGGTCTACCTACTTTAACTATGATATGTTAATTCCACCTCAGACCTGAACCGAATAGAAATCAGGCCCCACATTCGGAATCGTACGAGACATGATTTGACCTACGCTGAGAAGTATCTGTTTAAGGGGCTGCTCGCTGAGCTGGAAGGAATGGATCAGATCGTCATTCATGGTCTTTATGTAAGTCACGAAATTTAATTAATTGTGTAGTTTGATTAATAAGAAGAGATGATATTTAATTAAATATTTGATTTGTTTTTTTTGATCAGTTTGGCGATGAATCTCTAAAAAATCTTAGGGATTTTATGGCGTCGAACGAAATGCCCGAGTCGAAATTTAACGTGCTACAAGTGGGATGGACGGATGATGATGAGGAACGTGATGGAAGTGATTCCGAGTAGAGAAGATAAGACGTGGCGATGACTTTGTGAAGTTACGTCAGATTTGTAAAAGTTTATGTATCTAAAAAAAATTGTCAAATGGAAGTTTATGAATTAAGTGAAACCCATGTATTTCTTGAAAATTGATAAATAAATGTTTCACATGTATATAAATATTCTATTTTGTGATATTATTATTTTACTTTTTATCTTCACCGCTGGCCCAAAGCATAACCAGGGAAAATTTTAAGGTACCACAAGAGAGTTGGCAAGGAATTATACCACCCACTTTGATTGTAATTTTCTCAGAAATGATAATAGGTGGGAATTTGGTTCAAATACAAATTTAGTAAAAAATATACTGTTCTAAATTTTGGTAAATGTCACCTTTGCTGTTACTCATACTTACGTATTTATAGCCAAAATAGTCGAACATGATGAAATTTTTTTAAAACGTCCTAGCGTCAAAACCATCCAGAGCACAAATGTGCGACGACTCCCATATCGTGCAAAATAGTTTTACATGGGGAGCATAATGGGTCTCATTTCCATATTGTCTTCCATACTTTTCGAAATAGCATTTCTATACTTGCCCCACCCTATTATTTTATATTTCTAAGGACAAAAATGGTTCACATCTCATTATGTGACACAAATGAGCCCATCTCGGGGAGCTCTTAAAAATACCCCAATGACCTTGTCGCTATGCGGAGCCGTACTTCATGTCTTGACTCATTTTCTCTAAAAAATCATGTTGCTAAGTCCAGAAAAAATTGAAATATTCAACCTCTTGTGGTACCTTAAGTTCGTAGTGATTTTATAAAATTTAATCTGGGCATTGATTTGCGCATGTAATTTATTTATTAAGGGGTGAAACCCCTTTATAAGATCGTTATGTCCGTCTGTCTGTCTATCTGTCCGTAGCTCCGATAACTTTTGAACGAAAAGACCTAGCGACCTGAAATTTTGAACATAAACTCCTAACGTCAAGGGACAGGACAAGTTCGAAGATGGACACTGTGACATCGTCACCTGTGGCGATGACGTCGTCACAGTGACGAAAAAGTGTCGCATTTCAGTTTTTGCATGTGACACATCATTTTTAACTATTTTTCAATGAGGAATTCGAAAATTCATGTCATTTTGCGTTTGGACGTAACCTGTGACGATGACGTCGTCACAGTGACGAAAAGTGACGAAAAAGTGTCACTTGTCAGTTTTGACATGTGACGTCATTTTTAACTATTTTTGAACGTCGAATTCAATGGTGACCTCCATTTTGACCTCAGAGGTCATATAAAGGTCACATAAGGGTTATCAACAGTTAAATTTGACACAAATAGGACACAAACGTCGAAAACACGTCAGAAGTGTCAATCTTAACAAATTTTTCAATAATTTGATATTCACTTTGAAGTATGACAAACTCCTTTCACCCCTTGGTTACATGCGATGTAACGGTTTATTTTTCTTGAAATGAGTGCGTCAAATATTCACCTTGCCCCGAGATTCTGCGTGAACTAACCGGCTGAATTGTGATTCGATCCACATGTGTTTTTCGTACCAAAACGTTTTCCGCATTTCTGTGCAAGAAATTAATTAAATTAGCTTCAACTAAAGTCAATTAGTTCCTCGCAATATTCATCAACCTGAAACATCTGTAAGTCGTTGGAGAAAATTTGCTACCCAATTACACGACATTTCTAAATTAGAAATGTCGTGTAATTTCGTGTAATTAGAAATTCTAATGATTGGAAAAATATGAACAGATTTTGAATTTTTGATATTTTAAAACAGGAAAAACTTCTAAATCGACAACGATTTTTCTTTCCGAGTGGAATAGAATTATGGAATCTCAACCGGAAAGAAGTGTGCAGGAGATCGCCCTTTGTAATCCGATTGTAAGCCAAAAAATAATCTTAATTAAAACCCTCCGATGAAAATATCAAGTTACCTAAATCATAAATCAATTAATTAATTTTCCAATTTCCAGATTTTGACGAAAATCTTGTCACAGTCCTCCGCCCCGTTAAAAAGTTGTCGACTGGTTTCCCATTTCTGGAACGACACGGTCCTCTCCCTCCCGAACACAAGACTCGCCTTAAAACTGAACCAAAACCAAGATGATGAACGAGACCCTGTTTCATTTCTCGAACTCTGTTACAAATTAGACGACCGGCTCGCGAAACGGATTTACGCCGCGACATCACACCTCAACGAGGTAACGTTCTACTTCGCCACCAAATTGATCCATCTCTGCGACAAATTTAGTGATCAGGTCCAAGTTTTGGAGATTTCCATCTATTACGAAGCTTCTTTACAATCAGTTTTCCTCGTTTTAAAAAATTCCTGTCCCAATTTGAAACAATTACGAGTCCGGTGCAGCTTCTCGGAATATGATGTCCCTTCTGGAGAAACGCTCGAAGGGCCGATGCTGTCATTGCCAAGTTTGACAGTGTTCGAGCTTAATTCGTCCGTCGTGGCGCCGTCCCCTATTCTGACCTGTTTTGCTAAGCTGGTCGTCAACGCGTCGCCAAACTTGAAAAAGGTCACCCTTCCTTGGGGAATCTATCCGGATTTGGAAACTTCAAAATTCCTGGATTCCTTAACCCTTGAATTGGACGACGTTCGCCCTCTAGACGACGTGCTGACACAGCTTAAACCGTCCGAACTGACACGTATGCTGAATCAAATCGGTGACCAACTCGTCCACCTGTCTTTTTCCTATTGCAACATAAGTAATGAATGGGAAAGCATGCAAGAGGACAACGATCTGGATACCTCGACGCCATCCGGATTCCGTTTGAAGAAAAAGATGTCGAAACTGCGAAGATTCGAAAATGACATGGTCGACATTATTCAACATTACGATCTTTGGCGAGATATCGAAAGAATGCAGGCTCTAGAATCGCTCAGAATTGGAAAAATATCCAAAAAGTCGACAAGTGTGAATGCAGTTTTGAAAAATCTGTCAGAAACGGAGCGGATTTTTACAAAAGTTACGGATTTGAAGATTCACGAGTTGTACGATCCCGATCTTCTGGAAGGATTGAAGACAGCGTTTCCGAACTTGGAGAGCTTGGCGTTGGACACGTTCCACGAGGAGGAGGAGGACGAGGAAAAGGCTCGGATGGAGTTGGACGTGGTGCTCGAGACGTGTGCGGGTTTCGACAAGTTGACCCATTTGCATTTGTGGCTTCCGACGTATCCCGAACAAACGTGGGAGGTCCTTACGGCTCTCTTCAACGCCGTAGGTGAGGGACAACTTTTTGAATTAATTTAGTCGAAAATGTGCAAATTTTGGGGAGATACCCGTGTAATTTATGTATGTAAATAGTAAATACATACATGAATAAGTGTTTTAACTAATATGTGAATTTATTTCATGGCGACATCTCATTAAAATCCAGGCCTGGATACTTTAGTGATCAATACGCACAGTCAGAATCATACAAGACACGATTTGACGGACGGTGATGGTTATATGCTGGATCTATTTAAAACGCTAATCGTTGCGATGAGTTATATGGACAAGGTCGTCATTAATGATCTTTATGTAAGTTATAAATCCATATTTATATAAGTTATAAACGTATAATATTGTTAATTGCTTATGTACATAGAGCAAATCTTATATGAACCCGATCACTTGGAAATTTATCCTCAAAATGGTCAAAAATGATTTTTCAAATCTCAAATTTTTGGTGGTTATTATAAACATTACTGACATTATGTATCCGCGAAGAAAGGAGACCTTAATCAATTACTCACTTCGTATTTCGTCTTTTTCATCGCGCCCGCCATTAATTCTTTTCCGGAAGACTTTGCGACTTTGCATTGTTAATTTTCTCCCTCCATAACCAAAATTATCTTTAAGTATCGACTGTTTCACAAAGCTGGGAGTATGTCTTCTCACATATAGCCCAATTTTTTTTAATTGAGCGAAGATAATGGATGTATGTGGGATTTTAATTTTCCAGCATCAAAATGATTTTTTTCTCTCTTTTTTCCTTGATAGTTATTGCATTGTGGATTAGCCCAAGGTCGGTCCAAAAAATTGCATTTTGTATTTTATGATACACCTTGATGAAAGGAATCAGACGGTCTATCACACATTTCCGAAAACAAACCTGTGCGTCCTCATAGCCCATATGAACTGAGGGGTCCGGAACATGCCCAAATTTACCGAACGCCAGCCAAACCTGAGATTTTTTGAGAAATTTCGAAAAACATTTTAATTTCTGTTCGGTTTTCAGTTGAGACAGGCCCGTACCGACGATGCTTCTAGGTGGAGCGCTGGCTCCAGGCCGAACGGCCGTACCGGCGCGCCCTATACACTAGATATAATTGGCCTATCACACGCAGAAAGATAATTGCATATTAAGTGTGGAAAAGTGTATGTCAGACGTGCTTTATTTGCGAGGCCGGATGTTCCTACTAGTTCCTAGTCAACACTTTAACAATTTTAAACCCGAATCTCCTCTTACGGGGATAGACCTTTAGCTAATAACAACTTTGATATGTATCATACAAAATATCGTATAGTACAATTTCAGACGTACCTCCACGAATTCATAAATCGGTTTTTGGAGTTTAATAAAATATACTTTTTTAAGAGCCAATGTTTTCTGTTTCGAATTGTTGAGATAGGAATTAGTTGTGCTGTAAAATCCCTATTCAGTTTACATTTAATTTTAATTTTGCATTCTTTGATTATTATATTTGCCAACTTTTTACAATTTGCAATAAAACCGATTTTTAAAATCGGTTTTAAACCGGTTTGCGCAAAGAATCGAACACCGGTTTCCTACGATTTTTCAAACTTCGATTAATAGAAAACCGGTTTTACCACAATTTGAAAAATCCGACGGTGTTTTAAAAACTTCCGTTTTTGGACGCCCTATTTAGCACATGATTTCTGGTTAATTAGACGCAATTTACTTAGAGCTTAAACCTATTGAGTGTCCAGGACGAATTATTGACATGAAAAACTAGCTAAAACTGGGAAGGGGCAACGCTTTACAATTGCTTTGAAGAAATACCCCTGTTTGGTTCACATTGTGCATAGTGGAATTCAGAAGTCATGTGAAGGAGTAATTTAATAGAAATGAAAGAAAGTTCCATCCTAAGTACTAATCTTTAATTCTTTGATTCGAGCGAAAACAATTGTCGTATTATGGAAAACATTTTAATCTTTTCTGGAGGAGTACTAGTCGCCCTGAAAGCTTGTGGTCATTGTGCAAGACGAAGATAATTGTCGTTTCTCGAAGGACACCGGTTTTCGCCATTCTCTCTCCTCGACGTGTGTAAAACCTTTTGTGATTTTGAAGGATTCTCTTATGCAACTGAGTGTTGGATTTGAACACTTTCTTTCTGAAAATTTGGGCATACTTATCTAAATCTAATGAAATGTCAGACTCTGCATCTTGTTTCGACATTTACATATTTGAATCAATTTCTTCCTCCCGCACTATGAAAATAGCATCTTACTTATATGCTATGGTCCCAGAATAAATTCGTCTTATTGTAGTTAGTCATGCGTACTCTTGTAAACGTTAAACTATGGATCTCCCTCGGTACCGTTTTTTAAGGTTCCAGTACTGATCCTAAAGGATCCAGAAAGTGGAATTATCACAAAAAATTCTAACCTAATGAAATTAAAATGAGCCGAACATTTTTTTCATTTAAAATTTACTCCGTGGTTTGAAAGGTGGATATAGAGGGCTAGATGACACTTAATTTTGCGACACACTTTGAAGCAAGATACATACAATGTCGTAATGACCAGATATTTTACACCATTTTTGAAAAGGCCGGACTCAATATGTGCTCCAGGCCGTCCCAATCCAAGGAACGCCTCTGAGTTGAGAGATATATTTCCCATGAAAAAATTCCCTTCCCGAAGTTTCTGTCACGTTTTTAAGTACGTAGGACTCGTCGTCAGTGACCAATTATTTTGGTGACATTTTGTTGCACGGCTTGGTAGGTCTTGCGTTTACCATTTTTTCTTGACGTTCCATATGCTTTGCTGGAGATTTCTTTGAATACGCTTTGACCCGCAATTTATGGGCTTTAATATGATACAAGTAGTTTGTATTAATCTTTGACTTCATGGCGGCATCAGGCCCGGACGTGGATGAATAATTTTGAAAAAATGATTCAATCGTTAGTAACTTTCGAAGGGCCTGTATGGTGTTTTTTTCTCATGGTGCGTATTTTAGGTTGACATTTTCGGATTCTGCATACTTTTTTATGTACGTCTCAATTTTTTCACGCCCACCCCCTTCTCCGTTGAAATGCAGTCAAGTCTACTTCGAGTCGTTGTCACTCAAATTTTTGGACTTACAGAAACTCGTTTCCCGATTTCCTCAATTTGAAGTGGTGTACGAAATTTATTTTCCAATGAAAACTTATGAAATTTTGGGGAGACGTGGTCAGATATGTTTAGCATATTTTGCAAGAATTTCAGATTTCTAACCCTACTTTTGAGGACTCTGTTATTAAACGCCCTAGTGATCGGGTTCATATAAGATTTGCTCTAGGTATTCCAAACTTAATTTTATTAATATGAAGGGAGTAACCTTGATTTCGATTTCAGATTGATGCTGAATCTGTGCCAATTTTGTTGGATGTTATGGCGTCAAACGAAATGCCTGTGTCGAAGTTTAACTTGTTTCAAGGCAAATGGAAGAATGACGATGCTGATATTGATTTCGATTAGACAAGAAGGCTAGACGACGTACGGGGCTAGATGAATTTGTAAATGTTTTCATATCTAAGTATCTAAAAAAATGCTACTTCCAACCATAAGTTTGTGAATTAGACAATTGTAAACTATTAATTTCTTCAAAAGTTGATGAATAAATATTCAACAAATATTCCATATATGTACATATGTATAAATATTCTATTTCTATTTTAATATTCAGATAGGGAAATTCATGTACGGCGCTGGTCGTTTAGCTTTTTCGAAATAAATGTATGTAAAATGATTTCATTGAAAGAATAATAATAAAATTCTATTTCTGATTATTATTATTTTTAAGAGCAATCCCGTTGGAATTAAATATTTAGGTTTTAAAATTGAAAAATGGATGTATGTAATTTCGAAATTGGTTATTTTATTTAAGAATTTTTCATTAGTCAATATATTGAACGACAGTCGATAATTCATGAATACTTGATTCCCACGTGGGTGTAGTGTACACTAAAAAATATGGTATATTTACAATAGACCCATAAGTATTGATTTCTCGGTAGTGCTATGTAATAAACCTGTTACCGCTCGGTAATAAAATTTTCTGCAGATATGGTAAAACCTATAATATCTATGCCACTTTGGTGGGGTCAAATATTAATTGGTACTATTTTAATCCGTGATTTCTAAGTGTGTATCAAAAATCTAGTTATTGCTGCTTGTGGATAGTCCATTTTAGTGCTGTACATACATATTTTGCCAAAATGTTTAGCAATCTATTCTCCCAAGAATTTTCAAAAACGGTAAATACCGCAAACAAATTCGGTTTTCCGTTAATTTGGAATAAGAAATTGAAAAAGTTACAGTTCTCCAGGAAGTACTATTCTAGAATGAAACAAGTCCAGAAGATCATTTATTTTCACACTTTGGCCATACTTTGGCAAACCATACGACATAAATTTATACCAAATTCGCCCTATTTCAATTTATTGCTGGTTGATTCTTACGCCATGACGGGAATGTCGGTGGGAACGTACGTATTTTCGACTCACGCGAGGGAGATTGCCCGAAATTGGAATTCAATTTTTGCATACATCACGAAATTTAACGGTAAATAAATTAATTGCATAAATCTTTGATTAATATGTCTATCAAGTTGAAGTTATCAGAAGAGACGCAAACTTATTCCCGCCACTACTTGCTAAATTTTTGTACAATTTGCCATTTTTTAATTTTTGAGCTCATTCCATGAATTATATTAACTTTGAATTTTGTCAATTAATTTGTGAGTCCATTCATGCAGTAATTATTCACTAGCAAAATATATAGTTTACAAACTTTTTCAAAATAAAGAGACGCCCTTGATCTGAACAAGTTTACGCAAAATTTGTACGCTAATTTTCCTTACAAATACTTGGAAAATTTTGTAAAAGTTGGTAAAATTATGGATTTTACAATGCATGAATTCTCTCAATATTCTTAATCTTAAACCCATTATTTCTTCAGAACAATTCTGGACTTATCCCAAATCCACCGCGATACGCACCCTGAACCGCAACTTATTCAAAATCATTCGCCCTGCCAACTTCATGCTAAACCTTGTCCCGATAGCGATGTGGAGTCAAATATTTCTAATTCCCCATCACCCCATCCATTTGCCCAACTTATTTTCCAACTACAAAATTCTCTTTTACACCGCCCACCTCATTTACACACCCGCCACCCTGTACGCATTCTGCTTTGTGGCATTCTACATTAAACCAATGTTCCAAACTCTTACGGTGTACGTCCTCTTCACATTGCCCATTTTACGGGAGGAGTTAGCGCTAACTAGGGGCCCGCGCTATACCGGGAAATTCAAATGTTCCCCGGTACTCGGGGCAAGTCCGGAAAAAAATCTCGTCTTGGTCTACCGATCAATGCAACTTCTCATGAAAGACGTTTCTTTGCTATTTGGTCGTTACCTCCCAGTTTTGAACACGCTGTACGGACAACTCGCTATTTCCTCGGGCTACGTGCTAATCGTGGAAGGCGGGAAGACGGATAACTCTACCAAATTGGTATTACTTGTTTGTGTCCCTTTCACGGTGCTGGTATGGGCGGGATGTTTGATTTGCGCGGGGAAAATTCAGGCCAGTTCGAAGGAGTGTTTAACCTCGTGGAAGGTGGGGGCGGCCAGATGGGAGGAGAAGGAGGAGAAGAAATACATGGCTAAATTTAGGAAGAGTTGCAAACCGATATATTTCGGATTTGAGGGTTATATCGTAGTGACGCAGAAAACTGTGGTGAAATTTATGCAAGGGCTGGTCCGCGGCTTGTTTCGGGCGTTGTTGGCGCTTAAATAGAAAAAAAGTGTATTCATTTGCAGGCGTTTTTGTTCGGAAATGAAGTAATCGCATGACATTTCAGCATAAAAATAATATTTGTGTGAAATTAGACTTATTAAATGATAAGAATATGCAGATATTAGAATCCACACCTAAATATCTAACGAATTAACTTATCAGGATAGTAAATGTAGTATAAAATTATTTTTCTTGTCTCTTCATTTACATATCTGTGTATGTAAATTTCTTAATGTCCTAATGCCAATATGAAAATACCAATGTGTAAAAAACGTACGAAAGTGCCCAGATCCAAATAAATTTTTAGATTGATTATTTGTCGTATCTCGCTATGTTGCATATCGTGGTTGTCAAATTAACGCAATTTCAGGAACAAAGCTGCTTACATATTTGCATATCTTCGAACTGTATACACATCTCTCCATCTCCATTCCACCTGGAAAACCACTTATTTGGTATATGTACTTCTGCTCTCTGTGCATGGATGGCAGTTGATGTCAAACCCGAGAAAAATGAAAGTTTGCCTTCACCTGAATAACATTCTCTCCTCTATTTAATACATGGACGAGGAGAAAGTAAAGACTCGAAAGTCTTCAATATGCTTGCACGTCACCCTAAACATTGATACGAAAAGTATCCCGTGATTTTCATAAAATCAGACGAGAAGCATCATACTTCCACCATGTAACCATGTCTGATTTAACACATAATTACGTTACTTTGAAAAGGATGAGGCATTGAGGCGTAATAGATTTGTGATCTCATTTTCTATCCCTAAACAATGTCTTTTAGTGTAAAATTCTTAATCGGTATCGGTTTTACTGCATACTTTTTAACATAAATATATGTAGATCAATGCAACGTTTTTGATGCTTTAGCTTTAATTAAAAGTTAATTTTTTGGCACTACAAAACCTTGCCCTTGAACAAAAAATAGCTTACTAATTTGCAACCTTGTAAGATTAGCAATCCTCGAATTTGCTTAGACTCATTTTTTTGAGTAAACGTCTCATCGTACCAAAAATTAACTTTGCACTAAATATTCTGCTATTCTGGCGTCAATAATAAAAGTTGAAATCCTTGCCATAAACTAAACTTATTGGATATTATTATTATTTTCCAGTGACGGCGGAAGTTGGGGGACATATTTAGACAATATCGGACTTTTATGAATTTCTGGGGGACAAGGTACCTCTTCCTCCGCCAGCATTGTTACTTCCAATTACCCTAATTTAAATATATAAACACTTTATTGTTACTTCCAAACTTCGCTAAATTACCTTCCCGTTGAATGTAAAGTATTGAAATACTAGCGTATAAGCCCGTCTCCCGCCGGGCGAGAGCTTAATTGATTTTCATGAACATTGAGTGGGATTGTGCATAATTCCACCGAATTATTATTTTTATTGTATCTATACTATCGCTGGAAATGTCTGTTGGCAAGGCAGTGAAAGTAAATGTTGCGCAATGGAAACCTAAGTGGTTTCCATTTAATTTAATTTCGCTTTAAGGTACGGTTGCCAAGATAAGCAATACAACTATTACTAGATAAACACTCAGGATAACCATCTCAGAACCATTCCCAGATAACCACTATCAGACAATCAACTGCAGATGAGTTGTGTCACGTCATAGTGCGCACAGCACAGCACAGTGATGAGGAGACACAACTCGTCGATTTTGTGCTGTGCGCAAAACACAGCACAGCACAATTGACCTAGTCCTCATGTGACAAAATTCGTCGACCTTGTGCTGTGCGCACAACTTGTTTAGTGCAAACATGTGCACACTAAACACAAACAGTTAATGATATGAAACGACGAACTTGTTTAGTGCAAACATGTGCACACTAAACAAACAGAGCCTGACATGAGGCGGCGATTTTGTAGTGGTATAAACTGCAATGGCTGTTATCTGAGTGGTTATCTTGGGTGGTTATCTGATGTTGATTATGTGGGAGTTGTTGTGTGATGGAGATTATCGTGTATGGTTATTTGGGAGTGGTCGTAAATGAACAATAATTTTGTGTTAAATTAAAATTTTTGAATTTTCGCGCCATTCGAAACTTTACTTTCTCCACTTTCACTTCCGTCACGGAAAATTACTTTCACTTCCGTTGCAGACAAACATTTCCAGCTTATAATATAGAAGATGGTTTTAATTAAATAAGTGCTGAGCAATCCCATCGAAATGAAATACTTACGCTTTAAAATTAAAAACGGAATAAATGTAACTGCCAGCTTGCGAAGTTTATTACGTATTTTATAAATTTCTCATGCGTCACAAAATTTGCCGAATGTCGATATTTCATGTATACTTAATTCACTCACATACATTGTAAGAAATCTAGAGTACTAAGGCAGGTACTGAGTTTTCGGAATTGAAACCGACAACCGCTTCGTACTAAAATTACATATCGTCCGTGAAAAGTTGCTACCGATATGGTAAACCCTGAATACCGAGCTGTTACTGAACGGTATTATTTACCTATCAATACCACTTTGGTGTATGCATGAATTCCCTTCATACTGCAAATCTAAGAGTGTATATATGCCAAAAAAATACGCAGATATTTCTACTTGTGATAGTCAGTGCTACACATATTATATTACAATGTTTAGCGATCCATTCGCCCAAGAATTTTCAAAAACGATAAGTACCGCAAACATATTCGGTTTCCCGTTAACCTGGAATACAAAATTCGAAAAGTTACAATTTTCCAGCAAACACTATTCTAGAACGAAACTAGTTCAGAAGATCATTTACTTTCACACTTTGGCCATTATTGTGCAAACCATCCGACATAAGGTGACACCAAATTCGCCCTATTTCAATTTATTGTTGGTTGATTCTTACGCCTTGGTGGGAATGTCGGTGGGGACGTATGTATTTTCGACTCATGCGAAGGACATTGCTCGAAATTGGAATTCAATTTTTGGATTCATCACGAAATTTAATGGTAAATAAATTCGTGGCATATGTACATAAATCGATTAGAAGTTACTGAAAACTTATTCCAACGAATACTTGCTAAATTCTTGAATAAGTTACGATATTTTCTTAACTTCGCTAAAGAGATATTTTATTTTTTTCAATGAATTTTACTATCTTTGAATGTCATTATCTTATGAGGAAATTCACGTAGTCGTTGGTGACTCGTTACATCCGAGAGCTTTGTAGAAAAATACTTAACCTCATTGAGACCATAATTCTTAACAAAAAATTGTCTTGAGCATAATTTTAAATTCATAACTACATTTGGTAGCAACCAATTAAATTTCCAT